GAGTTTCAAATAAGCTCGTTGAAATTTTTATATCATCTAATATTACCAAACACTTTTATCAAATAATCTAATTTCATAATTTGTAAGCTATAATTCTAAATTCACCTTGAAATCTATAAACTAACTTCTTACCTAAGTTTACCAAACATATAGTAGTAATGGGTAAATTGCATCAAATCCCCCTGTAATATACTAAATCTGCGCGTTTTCCCCTCGTAATTTAAAAATTGCGTCAAACCCCCTTCTTATTGTATATCTGCGTGCATACTCGCCCTTTGATGTTAACACCGTTACTTTACTACTGACGGTGTTACTTTTTCGTCGAATTTACTATTATACCCTTACTTTATCGCTGAATTTACCATTATGCCATTATACCCTTATTTTTATAACTGAATTTACCATTATGTCATTACTTTATCCTGAATTTACCATTATGCCATTATTGGCAAATAATATATATATTGAGTACAGATTCGATGGGGCATTAATTAATAGTGTAGGGGGAATGGCCTAAATTACATATAAAGAAAATAATATATATATATATAACATATATATATATAATGGTTAATATATAATATATATATTATATTATATTATATATATAATATATATAATAACCATTACATTATATTATATATAATATATATATAATTTAATATATATATATATAACCGTCATATATATTATATATAATATATATAATTTAATATATAATATTATATAATATTATATATTAAATTATAATATATTATATAATATATATATTATTTTATATTATATAATATATAATATATAATATAATATACATAATAAAATATAATAATATATATAATAATATATATAATATATAATATATTGTAAATATAATAATTTATATAATATATATAATTTATATAATATTATATAATATTATAATTTATATATTATATAGATAATATATATAATGGTTATTATATAAATTGTATAATATTATATATATATTATAATATTATATATATTATATAGTATTATAATATATGTTATAATATTATTATAATATTATTATAATATAATTATAGAACATAATATTATTATAATATTATACTGCTTCCAGGCATTCAAAAATCTTGTTCTAGCATTACCAAGCGAAGCAGGTTTAGAAAAATTCTTGGCTCAAGAGTCACTTTCTAGTGTACTAGCCTTGTTATATCATATTATAATATTATAAATTATATTATATAATATAATATTATTATATTATATAATATTATATTATACTAGTACATACCCTGTGCGATGCACGGGCTGTATTTATTTTGGTAAAATTTATAAATGAAGGCTTTTAACCAATACGTTATAATACATAGAACATTTGTTAGGTAATCGTAAAATGATCATCATGAAAAAATCATACATTATTAAGAAGTTCTTTGTTTTTCCATGAAAAAATATTTTTCACTTGGTAACCGTAAATCGATATTTACCAAGATTGCTCTCCACTTGGTAATTGTGAATTGCATAGATACCTCATTCCTTCATTTTTTTTTTTCGGAATGTTACCACCATGAAATAAAACTATAGTAAAAATATGTAATATTGTGATAGATACTAAAGATATGATTATCTGGTGAAGGTTAATTTTATATCGACTATAAAGAAAATTGTTACCTTAAAGTTAAAGTGTGGATTTTGAGTATATCCTTTTTTTTTTGTCAACCATTCTCATTTTTTATGCCAAATTCATTCCAAAAATTGAGAACGATTTTGTTTTGTTATGTTTTAACAGAGATTTGGAATTTTGGTTGTATCTTTTGTAAAACATATTTATAAAAATAATTACGTTTAAAAAAAACAACAACGATATTTTATCATTTGTTGATAAAAAATAACTAAATGAATCGAATGACATGTAAATCACGGTTTTCAAATGAAACATATGTTTCATACAAAAAATGATAAGAAAATGATTCAAAATGATGAAAAGAAAATCATATGTTATAACAAAAAGATGTTTACATGAATAGTGGATTAGTGAATCGAAAATTGTGGCAATTTTAAAAAACATGTTACCATGATTGAAATGAAATCTTTAATATTTTTACTTTTAGTTAAGTTGCATATATTGCATAACTATATATGAAGAAAATAAAATATTTAAAATTTAAATAGGTGATTTTTTTATATATATATATAATAAAGTGTACAGTCCAAATAATTAAATTTTATTTAGCATTTATATTGTTAATATTGATACCGTGATTATTGTAAAGTCCAACTCTCATTTTTACGGTAAATTTATATTATATTAAAATGAACTGCTAAGTCTAAAAAGAGATATAGATTGAATTAAAAAAAAGACTGAATTGTGGTTAAATATCTTGATATCATAATTATACTGTTTTTAAAAAGATATTCCATAACATTTGGTTCCATAATAATACTACTTTTAAATATAATTGATTCCAAATAGCCGAATTTAGTTTTTAATCAAATATTATGGAATATATTTTTAAAAATATCTAACTATTAATTTATTTATTGTTTCTTATTTATATTTTATTTTTATTTTTGTCAATTGACAATATTATGTTTGATCACATTGTGCACGCAGATAATTTTTTAGATATAAAGTTGTAAACTTAACAAATATCTTATGTGGTTCACAATTCATATAAACAATTGACATTTGTCAGAATTTATGTGATAACAACATTTATGCATTGTAAATGCTCTTATTTTATTTTTAATAATTTCAAATATACTTCTATTCTTTCCAAATAAAATTAATACTATTTAAATTAGAACATTTCATACCAAAAATAAATCACCCATTTTATACCACAAAATCGGATATTTATTATTAACAACACATTTTCTATGAAAAAAATTAAAACGGCTATCATATAGTTAAAATAAAATCATCAACTTTATACCAAAATTAGATTTATTAATTTTGTCAACTTTATA